AATTGTTTGTATCTCTGAGGGATTGGTTGTAATAATTCCATTTTCATTCATGATTTTATCTATTTGGGTCATCTCCCTTTTCTTTTTGAGAAGCCTGGCTAGAGGTTTGTCAATTTTGTTTATTTTTTCAAAAAACCAACTCTTGGTTTCGTTGATCTGCTCTACAGTTTTTTTAGATTCTATATTGTTTATTTCTGCTCTGATCTTTATTATTTCTCTTCTTCTGCTGGGTTTAGGCTGCCTTTGCTGTTCTGCTTCTATTTCCTTTAGGTGTTCTGTTAGATTTTGTATTTGGGATTTTTCTTGTTTCTTGAGATAGGCCTGGATTGCAATGTATTTTCCTCTCAGGACTGTCACATCTTTTTTATCCATTCATCAGTCAATGGGCATTTGGGCTCTTTCCATACTTTGGCTATTGTCTACAGTGCTGAGATAAACATTGGGGTGCATGTGCCCCTTTGAATCAGCACTCCTGTATCCTTTGGATAAATACCTAGTAGTGCAGTTCCTGGGTCATAGGGTAATTCTATTTTTAATTTTTTGAGAAACCCCCACACTGTTTTCCAGAGTGGCTGCACCAGTTTGCATCCCACCAACAGTGCAAAAGTGTTCTCTTTTCTCCACATTCTCACCAACATCTCTTGTTTATTGAGTTGTTGATTTTAGCCATTCTGACAGGTATGAGGTCATATCTCATTGTTGTTTTGATTTGTATTTCTCTGATGCTCAGTGATGTTGAGCATCTTTTCATGTGTCTGTTAGCCATCTGGATGTCTTCTTTGGAAAAGTGTCTAATCATGTCTTCTGCCCATTTCTTCCCTGGATTATTTGTTTTATGGGTGTTGAGTTTGATAAGTTCTTAATAGATTTTGGATACTAACCCTTTATCTGATGTCATTTGCAAATATCTTCTTCCATCCCTCCGGTTGCCCTTGAGTTTGCTGATTGTTTTCTTCACCATGCAGAAGCTTTTTAAGTTGATGAGGTCTCAATAGGTCATTTTTGCTTTATTTCCCTTGTCTCCGGGGATGTGTCTAGTAAGAAGATGCTGTGGTTGAACTCAAAGAGGTTGCTGTCTATTTTCTCCTCTAGGATTTTGATGGTTTCCTGTTTCATATTTAGGTCTTTCATCCATTTCGAATTTTTTTTGTGTATGGTGTAAGAAAGTGGTCCAGTTTCATTCTTCTGCATGTTGCCTTCCAGTTTTCCCAACACCATTTGCTGAATTGTTTTCCATCAGATACTCTTTCCTGGTTTGTAGAGGATTAGTTGGACACACATTTGTGGGTCCATTTCTGGGTTCTTTATTATGTTCCATTAACTTCTGTGTCTGTTTTTGTGCCAGTACCATACTGTCTGGATGATTACCGCTTTCTGGTACAGGCTAAAGTCTGGGATTGTGATGCCTCAGCGCTTTGGTTTTCTTTTTCAATATTACTTCGACTTTGGGGTCTTTTGTGGTTCCATAAAAATTTTAGGATTATTTGTTCTAGCTCTGTGAAGAATGCTGGTGTTATTTTGATAGCGATGGCACTGAATGCATCAATTGCTTTGGGTAATATTGACATTTTAACAATATTTGTTCTTTCAATCCATGAGCATGGAATGTTTTCCATTTCTTTGTGCCTTTTAAAATCTCTTTCATAAGCTTTCTGTATTTTTCAGAGTACAGATCTTTTACCTATTTGGTTAGGTTTATTTCTAGGTATTTTATGGGTTTTGTGGCAATTTCAAATGGGATAGATTCCTTGTTTTCTCTTTCTGCTGCTTCATTATTGTTGTATAGAAATTAAACCCATTTCCGTACAATGATTTTATGTCCTGGATTTTCTGAATTCACATATCAGTTCTAGAAGTTTTTTGGTGGCGTCTTTCTTATTTTCCACTTAGAGTATCATGTCACCTGCAAAAAGTGAAAGTTCGCCTTCTTCTTAGCCAATTTGTATAACATTTATTTATTTTTGTTTTCTAATTGCTGAAGCTAGGCCTTCCAGTACTTTGTTGAACAACAGTGGTGAGAGTGGATATCCCTGTTTCTAACCTTAGGAGGAAAGTTCTCAGCTTTTCCCCATTGAGGATGATATTAACCTGTGGGCCTTTCAAAAATGATCTGTATGATGTAGACGTATGTTCCTTCTAACCCTACTTTCTTGAGGGTTTCTATTAAGAAAAGATGTTGTATTTTGTCAAATGTTTTTTTCTGGATCGATTGAAAGGATCATATGGTTCTTATCCTTTCTTTTATTAATGTGGTGTATCACATTGATTCATTTGCAAATATTGAACCAGCCCTGCAGCCCAGGAATAAATTCCACTTGATCACGGTGAATAATTCTTTGGCCAGTTAGGATTTTTAGAACTCCAATTAACAACACATGACTAGAAGCCCCTGGGTGGCTCAGTTGGTTTAGCATCCTGCTCTTGATTTTGGCTCAGGTCATCCCAGAGTTGTGATCCAGTCTTATGTCTGGCTCCACCCAAAATGTGAAGCCTGCTTAAGATTTTCTCTCTCTCTCTCTCTCTCTTTCTCTCCTTCTGCCCCTCCCCTGTTCATGCTGTTGCTGTCTCTCCAAACACACCACACACACACACACACACACACACACACACACACGACAAAAAGTGCCATAAACAGCAAAGGCTGTTATCATCTGACATCACAAGAAAACTGGAGATTTCAGCAGAGGTTAAGTCAATGGTACAATGACAATGACATAAGCTGGAATTTGGGTGCTTTTCTTCTTTTACTATGCCATCTTTAGCTTATCAACCATAGCTTGTCTCAAGGTCCCAAGATGGTAGTGGCAGTTCTGACAATCACATGTAAATATAATAATGTTGAACAAAGAAGAGTAGTAATCTACTATGAGCTTTTTTCCAGGTAGATATGGACAAATTTTCCAGAAGTTTCTCACCAGTGTCGCCTCAGATTCCATCTCACCAGTGTCCCCTCAGATTCCATTTCATTCATATGGCCTTGGATAAAACTGCCATTCACATGAAGAATGGTTGGAGAAGACATTACGTTTCCTGAGAAAATGGAGAGTTATTCTCAAATAAAATTAAGGATCAGAATTAATGAAGGTGGAAGAGTAGATAAAAAGACAATGTGTGACAAAATGTACCTGTTTCAAAGACTGCAAGTGGTTCCATGTAGGGGTAAATTTGGGGAACTCTGAACTAAACAGTCACTGAGGAATCTTCTCATTTACAAGATTTGGTTACTATGATTTATGCGAAGTTAAACATTCTGACTTCTAAAAATAACTTATTTAATAGAGGTAAAGTGTGAAATTATTACATCAGAGTAAGCCACTTCAGTTCCAAAATGAGAAACCAGCTACAAAGACAACAATCCCTCTGCTAAACTGTGAAACCTGAATAGTGGCACCGATATTAAGAAAGAATATTGTACCTGGAGGACATGCTGATCTACTATGATATTCAAGGAATGTTCTGATTCAATGTATAGTCCTTGGGGGAAAAAAATTGCAAGCTCTACCAAGACAATGGTATGGACAGATAAAGAACATTTTTACAGTTGAGGAAGTCCTTGAAGAATCTTATTAACTTATAGATACCACAGGGTATGAGTGTAACTGCCCAAATTTCAGAACCAACAAACATACAATGGAAAATTTGATTCTCCCTAGGCTTCCTCTTTAGAGTCCAAGTATACTCTGAGTACCCTCAGCTTTCTGAGGGGCACACGATGGAGATCAAGACTAGAGTTTGGTTCCCAAGTGGTTTTACCCCAGAAAAATACCATGAGCCAAGCAGAAGTGTAGGCAGGAGAGCAAAAGTCTCTCAAGTATCCCTGTTGCGCCAAAAATTTATTCATTTTTTTTATTGTTTAAACTGTAAACAAATCACCAATTAATCAAACTGTTTAAATGGATGTTTCAGAGCAGGGGGTAAATAAAAGGGAATATAATTTGGGCCATATAATTGGATTCTAATGTTATGGTCAGAAATAATGTAGGCAAAATAATCCCAACTCCTGATTATGAGACGGACTGCGTTTCCCCAATAATCCCACGTGTATGAATCTTCTTTCTATCCCTAGAAATCAGGGCATATTTTGATATTTTTATATTAAGAATAGAGAAGAAAAAGTAGATATGATTCATTGCTCTAAGCTTGCTATCAGGCCTTTATAAAGTACATAGAAAACTCTGAAATTAGTGAAACTATCTTAGATTTCTTCCAATTTAGAAATCATCTGTGAAAAATTACAGATCCACACTTTTCTTTCCTTTGCACAGTAAATTAAGAGTAAATATCATGACACCATGTGATTTTGTTTAATTTGACACAGGTAACCTAGGGAAGAGCCTGGCCTGAGGATTAGGTGCTAATGTAGAACTCAGAAAACTTTAATTCTGGATATGTCTGTGTTCTTGGACAAACACTTAGTTTTCCAATCCCCTTTTCTTCCACCTGTAAATTAAGGTAATATTTGACATAACCTACCAAGGTTTACTACACAAGTGTAATAAGGTGATAACTGTAGAGAATTTCAAAGACCCCTTACATGAATTAAATACGAATCATTTGATGAAGGCTGACTTTTTCCTCTTATATCATCTTTTGCTTTACAGAAATGGCAGCATTATAGTTATATTTGACCTTTTCTTTGCCCAGTGGGTGTCAGATGAAAATGTAAAAGAAGAACTGATTCAAGGCATTGAAGCAAATAAATCCAGCCAACTGGTCACTTTCCATATTGATTTAAACAGCATTGATATCACAGGTATCTGTGAACATTATTTGATTTCTTTGAATCATTAAGCTATGAAATTAAAATTCTAGCTATATACCAGGGAAGCAGTGGGATCGTCCTTGACTTTAGGAACATGTCTTATTGCCTGAGGTAACACATTTACATGAGAAATGTGAAATATGGAGAAATCATATTTGAAGAAAAATACCAGTGAGGAAAAGTTTGTAAAATATCAAAAAGGTTCTGAAAATATTGGCATACATAAATGTTTGTGGGTCACAGCACATTCTTGGCATTTGTCAAGTACACCCTAACTTTTCAGGAACCCTCTGATAGTAAGAAACACTCATTACTTTCGGATAGAGTCATAGATGTTATTAAATTACGAAGTCACATGTCAAGCCCACTCTAATTAAGAACTTACAAGGAGAGGAAAAAACATAGAGAGCTCAATGAGTTTGATTCATCCCAGTTATTTATTAATAAAAAATAAAGCTTCATTTTTAAAATAAGTAATTTTAATTTTTTTAGTGTTTATTTTTGACACAGAGAGAGCACAAGTGGGGGAGGGGCAGAGAGAGAAGGAGACACAGATTCCCAAGCAGGCTCCAGGCTCTGAGCTGTCAGCACAGAGCCCAATGCAGAGCTTGAACCCATGACCCGCGAGATCATGACTTAAGCTGAGGTCTGACACTTAACTGATTGAGCAACCCAGGTGTCCCTAAAATAAGTAATTTTAAAATAAAAATAAATCAAAGGGGAAGAGATATAAGGCATTAAAAATAATAGTAGGACAATAATGTCTATCAACACCTAGGTTATTCTAAATTTTCCATTCTAGTTATCCTCCATCTAATTCAGTTCAACAAACATTTACATATATCTTCATTTTGTTTGAAAACAATACTACTAATTTAAAAGATCTATCCAGGTCCACCATCCCTTACCTGTAAACCTCGGAGTCAGGTAAGTTCCGGAATTTGGAAATTTTGGGACTTCAGAAAGTTAACCAGTATATAAATACCCACATCAAGTGGAATAAAGACAAAATTTAAATAGCCTAACACCAGTTGAAGCAGTTTTGCTATAGAATGAGATCAGTCAATACAGGTTTGTCTCTAAATCAAATATATAAAAACATGCAGAAGTTTTTTGTCTTGTTTTTGATTTTGTAATACGAGATATGAAAGTTGCTTCTCCTTACAGTATTGGCTCATCAAGCATAGTTTTCTCATTCATTGAGTCTCCTCCTGTATCCTGCTGTTTAGGGAGAAGACAACTAATGCTCTTAAGAGCTTCCTCTACTGATGGCTTGGTTCCCTCTGGCACAAAAGCTGGAGCAGGGACGTTGTGGATCTTTGTCTGATTCAGTTGAGCTAAAAACTACTACTATGAGTTAGAATAGGTGATTTATCTACGACACATTTAATCTTTACATTAATCTTATTACATCGTGTCTTTACTAACCCTCACTTTACAGACGAGAAGACAAAAACAGATAATTTTGATAAATAACCTTAAATTACATAGGTATTTAGAGTTAGATGGAAGATTCTGACCCAGCTGATCTGACCCCAATGTCTGTGCTCTTAACCATTATGCTAGTTTGTTTACAATGTTTTTTTTAATGTTTATTTATTTATATTATGATAGAGAGAGGGCATGAGCAGAGGAGGGGCAGAGAGAGAGAGGGAGAGAGAGAGAATCCCAACCAGGCTTCACGCTCAGCTCGGATCCCAAATCGGGGCTCTATCTCACAAACATGAGATCATGACCTGACCCAAAATCAAGAATCGGATGCTCAAATGACTGAGCCTCCTGGGCAGCCCT